TTGGTTAGCACTGTACTGAGAGGATAAGGAAAGGAGATACTGAATGTAAGAGGTGAGGTCTTCCACATGCATAAACACCTACTGTTTGTGCAGGCGTTTGAGTAATTTAGTGCAATCTGGTAATGGAACATAGGAATGGAACAATGGACGACGAACCTGGACTACGCTTGGATGATGAGAAGATTGGGTACGGTTGTTTTTTGTAATAATTGTGCATTGTAATTGCTTATTGGTAATTTATGGATAATGTGTTAAGTCAATTGTTATATGTTGTATGGAACCACTGCTGTTTCTACTGTTTTTACTGTTTGTGAACCGCTGTGAGTCGCCTTCGGGCTTGAGATACAGCGGTATATAAGCAAAGTAAATAAATAAATAATAAATAAATACTCACCATCTCTCACCCTGTCACTTTTCTCCATTGCTTCCTTCTCTACCGCAGACATATTCCATCTTTAGGAATGGATCATTCCATCATTATCTGTGGATATTTCACAAGATTGGGATTCAAGAAGGAGTGGCAAATGGAAAACCACTGTTGAAGCAAACTCACATTAATGATAATTTTTAAAAAATCATAGCAAACATCTCAAAAAAGATATTTTTTTGGTTTGATGAAACAAAAATTAAAATAATTGTAGCTGTAAAATCCTGTATGGCAAGAAGCCACTGGGGCTCATTGCCCTAAGACCATTAATAGAGTGAAGCATGCTATGGATAGCATCATATTATGGGGGTGCTTTTCATGAGCGAGGACTGGGAAACAGGGTAGAGATTGGAGGCAAGATGGATGCAGGACAATTCTAGAGGAAAACTTGCTTCATTTGGCAAAAGAACATGGTTTGGGGCAACACAGGTTTCAAAAAATGAACCTGGGTTAAAATGTACTAGTTTAAACCCGGAGCTCAACATGATTGAAATTTTGTCACAAACTGTTATTCAACAACAGATCCTATCCAAAATGATGTAGGTAGAGCAATTTTGCCAAGAATAATAATTAAAGGTTGTACTTACCTAAGAAGACTCATAGATGAATAGAATAATAGAATTGTAGAGTTGGAAGAGACCTCATGGGCCATCCAGTCCAACCCCCTGCTGAGAAGAAGGAAAATCTCATTTAAAGCACCCCCATCCAACCTCTGTTTAAAAGCCTCCAAGGAAGGAGCCTCCACCACACTCCAAGGCAGAGAGTTCCACTGCTGAACATCTCTCACGGTCAGGAAGTTATTCCTAATGTTCAGGTGGAATCTCCTTTCTTGTAGTTTGAAGGCACTGTTCCATGTTTTGTCTCCAGAGCAGCAGAAAACAAGCTTGCTCCCTCCTCCCTATGACGTCTCCTCACATATTTATACATGGCTCTCATCATGTCTCTTCTCAGCTTTCTCTTAAGCAAGCTAAACATGCCCAGCTTTTTAAGCTGCTCTTCATAGGGCTTGACTTGTCTTAGTTTCAGCCTTTCTTTGTATTCCAAACTGCAGAAGTACGTGGTCACTTGCCCCTAAGGCTCTGACCACTTCAACTGCATTGATCAGGTCTTCCACGTTGGTTATTATTATTATTATTATTATTATTATTATTATTATTATTAAAAATTTTACATACAGTTCTTCTCTAACCTCTGTAGAGGGACTCAGGACAGTTGTTAGGATGAGACTGAGAATAGCAATCCCCTTGTTGCCTCTTCTACCTTCTGGACCACAATATTATATGCAAGGCAAGTGAGAAATTTGTTGGATTTGTACTCTTGGCAGAGTTTGATTTTCAGCAAATATTGGGATAGTTGAAATCGCCCATGACTACAATAACTCTTCTTTGTGCCTGTATGGTCAACTGTTGACAGAAGGCTTTGTTGAATTCTTCAGTCTGGCTGAGTGGTCTGTAGTAGACTCCCACAACGAGATCTTTTTGAGTCCCGGTTCCCTTGATTCTTATCGAGATGCTTTCAAGCTGGTTTCCCAGATTGATGTCTTGCATCTCTTCTGCAGTGTTACTGTTTTTGACATATAAGCCTACTCCCCCTCCTCTCCGCTTTGCTCTGTTTCTGTGAGACAGGTTATAGCCCTTGATGGCTACATTCCAGTGATAGTAGTCATCCCACTAGGTTTCAGTGATTCCTATGACATCATAAGTGTGGTGTTGTGTAAAGAATTTGAGTTTGGCTTGTTTATTTCCCATGCACTGTGCATTAGGGTAAAGACATGTACACTAGACCTTCCCCTGAGTGGTTTATTTGGGATTATTGTGTTGTGTTTAACCTTTTGGCGGTTCCCTGCGGTCGTGGGTAAATTACTGTTCGGAAGGCTGTTGTCCCGCTCCCTCGGTGGACCTATTTTAAAGTGCGCCTGATGAGTTTTGCAGGTCTGTGAGCAAAAATGTGTTTACCTACTTGTGCAAGATGCCCCACATTCCTTGCCAGTAGGCCATCCTACTGGAGAAGCAGGCCATGGTCGAAAAAGCTAAAGCGTTCCTCCTGACACTATTTTCTGAACCAATTATTGACCTTTACTATTTTTCTGGCCTTTGCAGAGTCATGTCTTACAACTGGGAGGAGGGAGGAAAACATGACCTGTACATTACACTGTTCCAAGAGCTCAAAAATCATTTGTGATATTTTGAAAAGTATGCCTAGCAGTATCATTAGTTCCTACACGTATCTGCATGAAAGAGGGAGGGTGATGGGGCTTGAGGAGTCTGGTGAACCTCTGAGTAACATGGTGTACTTTTGCCCTGGGACACAGCATATTTCTTGAGTCATCCTGTCCAGTCTGGAAATGGCAACTTCTGCTCCTCTAAGGAGGGAGTCACCTATTACCAAGATCTGTTTCCTTTGAGGACTGATAGGGCCTCTTTTGTGAAAAGTAGTGTTAGGTCCCCCCAAAAGTATCCCTGTTGATGTAGAATTTGTAGGTGTAAAATATTGTGCTCCTCCTCCTGTTCATTTCTCTATGTTGACAAGATAATCTACATTTACTTATAATGTGCTGATAACATTACTGTTACATGCTATAAAGTCTAGACAATTTACTCCATTAGAGAACATATAATCCTGATTTATATTACTTTCTTGAGAGTCTTATAAAATACACATACATACATTCTTGTTTCTATGTTACTATAGATATTTGTGCATTGTTTGCTTACAAATTCACAATGACTGCAAAATTCAATGGTGACTTCTAAAAGTAAAAATGAGTACATACAGAGCATTCTTATGTCGCCTCAACTTGTGTTTGTCAAAGGGATCTGTTCACACTTGCCGCTGGCAACCTTTAGTGCACATGAATGCGTGAAGGTGGATCTAAAGGTTAAGAGGGGTCTAAGCAAATCCCACCTGATTTTGTATATATATAAAAGCCTCTCTCCCTTCTCTAAGAGAATGCTCAACAACTCACTTGATGATATTATAAGCAACCTCTACCAGACAGCACTAGAATACAATACAGAGCAGGCAAGAAGCAGCCGTGCTGCACAATGAAATTGCTTCAGGCAGAACACAGATGCCTGTAATCCCCCATCCCCGTTTTTTATGAAAAAGGGAAAAAAAAGATGAGCTGGTAGAATTCATACAGTTTTTAATGTGCATATGTGCATAAATTATATGTATTTGGTCATCAACTCTTTGTCTCTAGTCTTGCTATTTGGTAAAATAAGCAAGGAGGAGACAATGCATGTAATTTCTGAAATTCTCCCCTGCTTTTCTTTTTGACCTTTGGTATTTGTACTTTATCGATGCTTTCTCTAAACCATTGTACAAAAACACCTTGAAGTGTCAAGCTTTAAAAATGAGTCTTCTTTTCTCTTTCTCCTGTGCAGCTTGGATTATCTTGGCCTTGTCAAAATACATTCTCTAGTTAGAGGTTGGAAATATTTCCCTCCTGGCTCCTAAGTATTGATTTTTTCCAACACTCCGCTCTGTCTGTCAGCTGAAGAGGTGAAAGGTGAAAGTTCATCCAGCACTGCCTGGCTTTACCTTCCTATTAATGTCATGCCCTTTCTGCGTTTGATCAGTTTATGTGATCAGCAATAGAACGGTTACTGTGCAGATTCTACCTATAGGAAAAAAAATATTTAAGCCATCAATTATTCTAACACAGGAACACACCTTGAAAATCAAGAGGTGCTTGAAGTGTTGCGGTTATGAGCCCGCTGTGATTACTCCCCTCTTCAGTTATGTAACAAATACCTCAATCCATCTCCATTCTTCCCTTTCATATGAAAACCTCAAAGAGAGAAAAGCAGGTGTAATTATTTGTTCTGATCTTTCCTGTAGACTGATTAGCCTAGTGATAGCGTAGGTATGCAGATCCAAGCTCAACATTTTTGGATAAAGCAAACACCACACGCTCTCCTATTTTCACACTGGGAAGCTGTCCTTGACTAAACATCTCAGTCATTTGCTCCAATCACTATTTCTCCAAAGAGGGAGAGAAAGAAATGAGGGAGAGAAAGAGACATGCAATCTTCCTGTGCGACAAAGGGGCAATTAATATAGGTAGAGGACAAAGATTTTTCTTACAGGAAATGAAGTCTTATCAACCTGATGGATTATTTAGTAATTCATATTGTCTTATGAATATGCTGGAACTTTTGAAATGGGGTCTTCACCTGCAATAATGAAATGTTCCAGATATATAGGAAAGGGTTTGCACTGAAATTAATACAAAATTAAGCTAATTATTACAAGCTGCTGCCCAAAATGGTTATGATGCACTAGGATGCCCCCATTGTCATCATAAAGCATTTAATAGTTTAGCTGGTGTGATGGTATTACACTAGTCTGCATTTCCCAATCCTTTCTCTGTATGGTGGCAGATCATGGAAGTGCACAGAAATTTGTGACAAGCTTCCACAACCTAATCCGTTCTCAATGCTATGGGTTTAGGAGGAACTGAATGTGCAGTGAATGCTTTCAATGGCAGGTATATGTTCCTTGCATCCAATTTGGCTTACTACACACACACAGTTGCTGAAGGAATTGGAATGAGGACTGGGGAAAAGTATTCTTCAGTCCAATTAAGTATTTATTTCAGAGATATTCTATACACACGACCCTTTGGTTACATGCAGAAGCCAGTAAGTGGAATTGTCAAGTCATTTTTTTTCAAGGCAGACATTTTAATCAGTTACCATACACTGCAACGATAGTCATGACAACGATTTCATACAGGTGTCTCATCATGTCATCTTTTGCTTGTAAACTGCCAATGAAGCCACGTACGCCTCTACATTTACAAGGACAAATCCAAATACAGTACTAAACAAATCAATAAAACACTAAAAGCTTACACTGGAATGACAATACAAATTTTACTGCAGTGCTGAAAGATCTAAGATGTGATGAACTTTGCAGTGAGGGTTGAGAGAGTCACTCAGGTGCAGATTTGCATATGTGGATGTTAAGGGAATCCAAGGTAAAAATCCACAAAGTGCTAGGTGACACCACCTCCATTCATTTCAATGAGGATGTCCCTCTTCCCACTCCCAGTGCCCCCATTCAGGACGCTGAGGTTTGTTGCAGTTCCTAGTACATAAATATTGATTCTTCTGTTTAAATAACTTCTTCGTGTATACTAGCCTTCCTACTGGTTTAAAAGCATGATTCCTCTTTTTATAGGTGCAGACTGCCATGTGTAACATAGCCAAAGAAGATTAAATCTTGTGTACAGTCTTCTAAATATCTTTAGACCCCTCAAAGCACAAAATAACTTTCTTGACAGAAGAAGCACAAGAAGTTGTGTTTTTTCCCTGGTTATGTTTTTTGTTTCCTTAAGTAATGGAATTCAAGAAAAACACATTTAAGGATATGTTGAAAAATAAATAAATAGAGGCAGTTACGGGTACCAGTCACTGAGTATAGTTGCTTCACATCATCCACTATAAATAAGCATGTTGCACCACCTCACAAATCCCACTGAAATTAATAGAAACTGAGCAGTGATGTAAGTTTTGTGATATTTCAGAACAATTGCAGCACTTCTAATAGATACAGAAGATGCAACTTCTAACAAATGAAGAATAGCAGCTGGCATGTGGAAAAAGCAGTCACTTGCTGAGACTTCTCCACTTGTGACATAGGGCAAAGCTGATTTGTGCCCATTTTGTGTTCCCTCACCAAACCCCACAACATGGATTTCCAGAAGAGAAACTCGTAAAGTCATAGTAGCATGGATAACATTTTATAATATATTTGGAAGGGGAGTTAAAAAGAACTTGATATTAGGATGAGATGTTCAGTAGGAGCCCTAAACTAAATCCAACACTGGTCAAACCTACAGCAGATCCACTGAAATCAGTGAGAACTTAATATTAATTGTGACTAAAATAAATCCCTTGAAGAGGTCCAATCTAGGCAGAACTAATACTGGATTTAGCCTTGTGATTAGTGTAATATAATGTTTTATCCATAGTAGGCCAACATGGAGCTCAGTGCGAGCAGAGCTGCTCTTTCTCTCCATCCTGGGGAGTCGTCTTTATATGACATCCCACTGCACATAAGAGGGATTAGCCAGAACTGAAATGACACACAGCTTCCTGACCGCACAGAGCCCCAAGCAAAAGGAGTTCCATAGAGGTTTGAACTGAAGAAACTGTAAGGAAAGGCAAAATGTAGGTGTGTGTGTATCAAAGGAAGAAGTCAATATTACTCTGGAATGTCTACATGGAAATTCACAAGAAGGTTTTTCTTCATTTATGACATTACAATAATTTGATTTAATAAACAAATGTGTACATGTTCCATTTTTTTTAAAAAAAATCACATCCACTTTTGATAAATACAATGTACATGCATGGTGCAATGGCTCACTTAAAACAAATGTTGAAATTCTACAACAAAATTGTTACCATCACCAAACACACTACTTATGCTTCGCAATAGTTAAAAACAATATAAATGTATAGCGCTATGAGATAAATATTCCTAACGGTCTTGCTCTGCTCTTAAAATCTGAAGAAGATAGATATGTTGATTGTAGCCTATGTAATCCTACTTACATGTACACTGTATTAAATAGACCACCTAGTTGTTTAGCAAAAAAATCAATGTATGCAAACTAGAGGAACTGCTCTGATGCAATTCCCACTGAAAAACCTGGGATGAGTGCAAGGATGCTGAATTGCTCTTGCACAATTTTCATTAATTTTAATGGGGAAAAGAAGTTGTACTTCAAAGAAAGCACCCAACGTTTTCAGCTTGGAAGCAACCCTTTCTTTACCAAGTGATATTTTTGAATTTCTTTTTTTCTGTTATCAAGTTCCATTTCTGAATTTGGATTCTTAAATTGATTAGAATTTGGCATACATTAAGATCATGCTCTCTTCTTGGCTTTGTAGGTTCCCAGCAAATAGGATACACGACAAACATCACCTGTGTTTGCATTGAAATAAAATGTCTCCTATTCTGTTTTCTCTGCTGTCCTATGATCAAAACCTATGATCAAATTAAATGCACAAAACGTATCAGATATGTGAACATCATTACAGATGACCTTCCTGTTAAGACAAAGGTAGCAATGTATTAAAATGGAACCGTAAGTTAACATATAGTTATGCTTTCTGCATTAACAAGCAGTGATGTGCTTCACCAAATGCTTCCAGTGCTTCAAATGTTTGTTTTCCAGTGAAATCACAATGTTGAAACTACTCTGCATCATAATTAGTTTGTACTGCAATAACATTCAGTGGTCTAGTTGTGAGGAATCTTTATATTATCCACAGGCCTAGTGCAAGCACAATCTGTGCAAGAAAATCTACTTGCAGACATTAATATCTAGAGTAGCAGCAAAGCCAAACATTGATATTCATCCCCATCCTCTTTTTGTAACCTTGCAATTTTCATTAAAAATAATAATAATAATGCAGCTGATCTTACTCTCTTTTCCCTGACATAAGAAACATAAAATTGTCTCTTCACTTATTAAACTACGTCATCATTTCCAAATCAATCAGGAATGTACATGAGGAAGCAAGCTGAAATGGAAAATCCTCTTTCCCATATATTTTCTCATGAAATCTCAAGCCTGACAGATACAATAAACCTTTGATGCTGTGAACCAGCAGCTCGAGTGGGCACCTGGGAGCCCCTATACACAAAGGGATCATCCAATTCTTTCCTGTAAATCAAGAAATGCCAAAAGAACACACGTGGAGAGCTGTAGGGGCATGTGATAACCCACTTCATCCCACTCCCTTGAAAGCATGAAGCATGGCCTAAAATAAATCCTAACTCAGTGATCCTCCTACAGTTGCTGGAAGAAGATTCATGTAAACATCTCATTGTAGCTTTTCGTAAACATCGGGGTGTGAAATACTTTCTAGGTTTTCTTAAAAAAACAAAATTAAACCCTGTGGATGTTTTTAGTCATTCTCAAAGTGATCAGAATCAGCCCAGCTTAAATATTGTAACTTGATTAATTTTTTTTTAAAAACCAACCAACCCTTGTAAAATCAAGATATTCCAGACACCTAACAAGGCAGTTGTGTTCTCAAGGTTCTCACCATGCCATTGATAAGGGAATGATCCTACACACTGACATAACTGCTGAGATTAAATATATCCCTGTAGGTCAATAGTTGCCTTAAGCAGGGCTCTTCTGTAGAGAAGCAAGCAGAGTAAATGCCACCTGGCCAATGCTGCTTGGTAATGTTTGTGGGAACTGGTACTGACCCTCCAGTGTTATGATCACAAAGAGGGAGAAAAGCGATACAGGGGGTATTTAAACAAAATTGTATTTGTAAGAAGGGAGTGGGGACACTGCACACCTTGGCTCTACACCACAAACCGATGTTCTTTGCCATCATGTGCCATAAGAATAACATTGCGATTGGAAGTCCAGATGAGCCTTGCCAGTCGGAGGGCGTTGTGAGAGCCTGGCGATGCAGGTTGGACAGGGGGAACCTGGTAAGTTTTGATGCATCGGAGCTGGGGTGCAGAATTCAGCATCCCAATACTCCCCAGGAGAGAAGTGTTCATCTGTCACCATGGAAAGAAAGGGGGAAAAAAGAACAATCATCAACATGGAAATCCAATGGAATATTGAAAGCACCAACGGTGGAGGAATCTCTCCTTGGTTTTGTAAGAGAATCGTCAAAAACACTTCCTTGTGATTGTAACATGACTTCTGAGCTAGAGTTAACCAGTTTCCTTCTACTCTTTCTGTTACAATAAATGATGTTTTAGCTACTGAAAATCAGTAAAAGCATTGCTAACGTTCCTTATTAAAGTTACACTACACAACAAAATATAGTGAATTCTCCATATTGGAGCCCCTGCTGACTGAAAGGTTGACAGTTTAAATTCGGGGAGCAGGATGAGTTCCCACTGTTAGGCCCAGCTACTACCAACCAAGCAGTTTGAAATCATGCAAATGTGAGTAGATTAATAGGTACTGCTCCAGCAGGAAGGTAGCGGTGCTCCATGCAGACATGATGGCCACATGACCTTGGAGGCATTTATGGACAATGCCAGCTCTGTATCTAACCTACTCTGTTGTTTGGTGCTCATCTCCATTTCTTAGCCGAAGAGCTGGTGTTGTCTGTAGACACCTCCAAGGTCATGTGGCCGGCATGACCTTAGAGTCACTGAGGGCTCCTAAGAATGAGTTAGGAAACACCAATTTCACTTTCTGTCCAGTAATTTACCATGTGGGGTTATGCAAGCCAATGTTCTCTCTCAGCCTTCTTTACCCACGACTCCACATATCAGTGATAACAGTGGGGCCAATTTACATCATTTCTTTGGAAGGACTTTTGAGAAAATTGCCTGCATTTTGTTGTCAGTCTTGACTCGAGTAGACCTATTCAGTCAATGCAATGTGCCTATCTGTTGACTCATCATTCAAAAAGAGTTGGAATAGGTATACTCTATTGGATCTAACCAACAGGAGGCCAGCCAATATATGCAAACTGCTTTTAACACTTTGAAAGATGTATAAAGGTCAGGAATGATAGCCACTACTCTTGTGTATATTTACTCCTTTGATGTCTTTCTCTTTGTCCTACCACCTTCACAATATATTCCAGTGATGTGAAATTATTTTGGACATGTGTTCTCTGCAGCCCATATACTTCCCCTGCACTGAATCAATGAACTGAGGCAATAGGATTTTGGTGGGAGAGAGTTCATCCTCCTCTTTGGCTCTGGACAGTTTTAATTTAATTTAAAACCTTTTTAAAAGAACACATATGTAATCACAATATTAAGCTATGAAAGAGAGCAGTAACTGATGTACAAAATGAGCTTTGATTATCTTTTTCCTCCATTGGAATGAGTGCATCTGGAAGTGTTACAACTGCAGAATCCTGCAAATGGAAATAGTTGTCTCTGGTTACTAAATAATAGAGTGGGTGTGTTTTTGACAGTATATATTTTGAAAGGCAGGCTGGCAGGGATGGGATGGATGGGGCCAAGAAAGCTCCAACCAGCTTTTTATATCTCTATCAGCTCTCTCTATAAAGCAAAGTATCAAGGGAATGAATCTGTAAATACTGGAGCTTCCAAATCAGAAGATAACTGGACAATTTATATCACTTTGGTACGCATGTGATGTGCTTTAAAACAAGGAAATAAAGAAATAGCCCTGTGGTGACTTAAATGCTGCTGTAATCTTCTCAACATGTGAGGATCTCTGGCTCCGAATAAAGCCAGTGGACATGACGCCTTGGCTGTGTGTCTTGGACTTTGACACATGAAAACCTTGGCATATATCCGAGGACATTTTTAAGATGTGCTATTGTCGATATCATGTTCTGAATTCTGATCAGTGCAAAACAGAAGCCATTACTTTTTTTCCTGGTCCTTCTCAGCAGCAGAATGGTGTCAGAGAGTGTAAATCATGGCATCTGTAGCAGGGAGCATGCAAGCCCCACTGACATTTTCACAATTTAAATCATCTTGAGTAATAACCCTTTTAAGATGACTAATGTTACTGATTTTCCTGCATTAATAGTAGTGCTGAATAGACCACTGTGGGGCGGAGGGAGAGGAGGAATCACTAGTGCACAGGGTTACATTTTAAATGCAATGTGTTGGCTAATTTTAACTCTTTATGTTAACGCTGTCTTTTTAAACAGCGAGAGAAAAAAATCATATTTAAAACACCCACGCAAGATTTAAGCCCTGCAGTTTATATGTCAAAGCACGCTCAGGTTAGGAGCATTGTCCCTGCCACCCCCTGCAATTTTAGATGATCATGTAAAACATCTCAATCAATACATCTGATTGCTTTCTAGATCTTCCCGTGTAACTCAACTAAATATATGCAAGTGATGGAAGAGCGTTTTTACAGTTCTTATTCACTGCTTCAGAAATCACACTCTGTGTGATGATAGATAATAATTCAATACTCTTAATGACACATACAGTTACCACTGAATGACATGCAGAATGTCATGGTAGATTAAAACTATATACTATTAGCTGATAGTTACAGGAATAAAGGGTCCAAGGAAGCAATAATTCTACTACCAGAGCATTCTCTTTCACAGAGATAGCTGCCTACATAGACTGTGATTCAAAACAAAAAGTAGACATGATGGGAAGATGTTCAAAACCTTGCTCAAATTAACTGGGACTTGACAATTATGTCATTTTCAGTATCTACAGAGGGTTTGTGCAGGAGAACTCCCTAGTAGACGCTACCTACTGGCCACTTTATTTTGCTACTGTGAACAAGTGGCTGAATTCCTCAGTGATAGGAATTCTCTGTATCTCTGAAAATTGTGCATCCCATTTAATAATGGGGGTGGGGGTTATCATATAAGCTGTCTTCCACTGTTCAAGTTCACTCCTGAAGAACATCTGATGATGTATTGTCGAAGGCTTTCATAACTGGAATCTTTACTTACTTAGGCGATCCCTCGTTGTCTGAGTAGGATAGTTTTCCAAGGTCAGTGTACTGGCAGGTGACTATGGAGGCCTGTTCTCAATCTGCATCTTTTCCCACAGAGACAGTATTGGTTTCCAGGTGGAAGGTGGTCCCGGTCAGGGTTGGCTTGACGAGCCTTCCTTTTGGCACGTTTCTCTCCTTTGTCTTCCATTTGTGACTCTTCAAATTCTACAGCACTGCTGGTCACAGCTGACCTCCAACTGGAGCACTCAAGAGCCAGGGCTTCCCAGTTCTCAGTGTCTATGCCAGAGTTTTTAAGGTTGGCTTTGATCCCATCTTTAAATCTCTTTTCCGGTCCTCCAACATTCCGTTTTCTTGAGTTCGGAGTAGAGCAACTGCTTTGGGAGATGGTGGTCAGGCATTCAGACAATGTGGCTGGTCCAGCGGAGTTGATGGCGGAGGACCATTGCTTCAATGCTGGTGGTCTTTGTTTCTTCCAGCACACTGACAGTTGTCTTCCCAAGAGATTTGCAGGATTTTTCAGAGGCAATGCTGATGAAATCATCCTAGGAGTCGCATGTGACATCTGCAGATAGTCCACGTCTCGCAGGCATATAGCAGGGTTGGGAGGACAATAGCTTTATAGACAAGCACCTTGGTATCCCTACGGATGTCCCGGTCCTCAAACACTCTATGCTGCATTCGGAAAAAAGCTGCACTCTCAGAGCTCAGGCGGTGTTGTATTTCAGTGTCAGTGTTGACTTTTGTGGAGAGATGGCTGCCAAGGTTGCAGAAATGGTCAACATTTTCTAATGTTACACCATTAAGGTGTATTTCTGGCATTGGAGAGAGGTTGGCTGGTGACTGCTGGAAGAGCACTTTGGTTTTCTCGATGTTCAGTGACAGGCCAAGCTTCTCGTATGCTTCTGCGAAGGTGTTTAGAGTGGCTTGTAGGTCTTCTTTTGAATGCGCACAGACGACGTTGTCATCAGCAATCACTGGGTTCTTGTAGGTTTTTCGGGCTATATGGCCATGTTCTAGAAACATTCTCTCTTGACGTTTCGCCTGCATCTATGGCAGGCATCCCCACCTTTCTTCCCCCATGAAGAAAGGTGGGGTATAAGTAGAAGTAAATAAATTAAATAATAATAATGTATTCTGAAAAACAACTTCGAACTTTTATTTTTCCCATTTGTACAAACATGATATTTCAGTTCAGATGATTTATTAATACAAATCCTGGAAAGTTTTAAAGAGAACAATGCAATATTCTAGTATTATAATAATAGTATTATAATTATAGTATTATTATAGTAGTAGTAGTAGTATAAATAAATAAACAAATAAATAAATAAATAAAAGTATTCAAATGTGGTATGAAGAGATGGCTCTCACTTACCTGCCAAAAGGAAATGTGACTATCAGTGTTGGAATAAGTAGCTAGATAACGTCCATCAGGAGCAAAAGCCACTGCAGTTATGGCCCCTTTATGGCCATGGATTGTCTAAAAATAATAAGAAAATGATGTTAAAGTTAATTTAGTAACTATAAACAAAAGCATATGGGTGAGATAACTTATATGTCTATAGCCATATACCTCAACATATACATATGTACAAACCTTATGGATTAAAGCACAATAACAGTCATCATTTCCTATGTTCATTGTTTTAACGAAAGAGTAGGAACGTATGAGCATATCACCAAAAGAGCAATGGAAGTTTCAATTGCAGGAACCAGATACTTTAAATGCCAGTTTTCTCTACATTTGTCACATAATCCTGGCCTTCCTTGAACCCCAATAAACAATCCTCGGTTTGAACATGCTAGGCTTGAGTTAAATCAGAACATTACATTATTCCTATAATTTTTACACATTTTTACTGTTTCTTCCATACGATTTAAATTCAGAATCTCTTATATGATGCTCTCTAGAAACTATATCATTGTACTGGCTGTTTATCCTTGCCCTCTGCTGGCGTGGGGTGTTTGCTGCATTTCAGTAGCCAAGTTGAACTGTAGGGTAGGAAGGACAGGATGACCTCTGAGAAAAGATAACAGTAGAAGAAAAGCAGAGGGCAGCTAGGTGCAGAGTCAGAGTGAGTGAAGTCAATGTGGCTTCCTTTTTTTGCAAATTAAACGAAGTTGAAATAGGCAGCATATCTAGGAGGCAAAGGTCACTAGGATATGTGCCATGAGAATGAAGATTTACCAAGATGAGTATCTTTCTGGTTTTATTTGAATTTTCAAAACAAACAAACACACTCAGCCCCAAACCCAATTTATTGGATTCGGTATAACTGAATAAGTAACTCCTTCCCCATTTTACATCAATTATTCAGTTTTGAACTATGTGTGTGTGTGGCTTCTTATGTATTAAAGTATTTTAATCATCTGGGGAGGCCCTGCTCTTGGTCCTGCCTCCTTCGCAGATGCAATTGGTGGGAACGAGAGACAGGGCCTTCTCAGCGGTGGCCCCTTGGCTATGGAATGCTCTCCCTAGGGATATCAGATTGGCCCCCTCCCTCCTAACATTTCAAAAAAAAAGAGTTAAAACCTGGCTTTTTGAGCAAGCATTTGCAAATGCAGTGTAACAGACTAATTTAGATCCACAAAATGATTGGACGATGCGACGGGAAAATGATTTTAGTAATGAGACACTGATGACTTGTGTTTTATTGTTTTTATTGTTTTTATATGGTCTATATTATATGTTAATGTTTTTAAAATTATATTTTATGTCATTGGGGGCACTGATTGCCGATTGTAAACCGCCTTGAGTCGCCTTCGGGCTGAGAAAGGCGGTATATAAATATGGTAAATAAATAAATAAATTTTAGCACACTAATAGCACTATCTTGTGTTCAAAATAATTAGAGCAGTCATCTCCCTAGGCATGTGCCTATTCCAATCATCAATCATGGTGATCCATGCTTTTTGAAAAGTTCTGATAAGTTTGTTCATTTGGTTCATAATAATGTATAATAAGCATTTTTGTGGTACCTAATTCTATCTTTACCATTATTTTTGTAAACATGATAATAATTCAGAAAGAGCCATGCCACCTCCTGTCAGAGATTATGGATGCTTATCTCAGTGATAATTCCCTATCACTTATCACATTTCAAGCAAAGGCTACTCTTTCTTCTTAAACACACACACACACACACTTCCATGAATGTAATGCTGATGTGTAATGCTGGCTTCATTACTACTTCGGCATGCTAAGATGTTTCAGCAGGGCACAGGGAGAATTCAGGCTAAGATGTCGGGAGGCAATATATCCATGATTGTGTCTTCCCTTGATGCACAGAGGGTTCTTTTGACCTATGCTGTAGACTGACCTTTCTGCCGAGTAGGTCAACTGGCTGCAGAGAGAATATCCATGTAGGGTTTTTAGCAGACTGTGTGATTCAAAGAGCTAGTTATATTCCTATGGCGCTCACTCTGCTAACCTACAATAGAAACCTATCGCTTCCTATTCTGGTTAAACCAGTGTGACCTTAGGAAGAGGATTTATGCAAAAGTGGAAACAAAACAACATTCTAAATGACCCTGTACTTCATGAAACATGCAGTAGTTTCCCTGAGTGTATTCTGAAGATGCAAGAAAGGAATGGATAAGAATAATTTAAGTACATAGAGTAACCCTCACACTCACTGCTGAAAGCACTGCATGTGTAATACTCCAATGATTCTTTTACAGAAGTAACTGATTCCTTTATTACAGAAGAAAAGCTGAGGCAGAGGGAGGACAGTGCTGAGTCCAGCCTTCTCCATCAGGTCTCCTTCCAATGTCTCGGAGCACAACTTCTCATATGAAAACTGAGGAATTGCGCTCATGAGAGTTGTAATACTTGGAGAGTATCAGCATGAAGAGGGCTGACTGAGCTTAGCAACTACACAGAAAATAGGTGGACTCGTACATCAACCCACTATCCCGAGTTTAGGCTGACATACATGAATTCTATCCTCTTTCATTTTATCCTCACGACAACCTTAGGCTGAGAAAATAGGTCACCTCATTCATAGCTAACTGGATATTTGAATCAGTCCTCTTTTCTGCCTTCTCCTCCTCACATTTATGCTTCATATTTCCTCCATACAGATCAAAATGGGGTACATAGATAGCTCTTCCCTGTCACACTTAATTAACTTTCACAATCCTGTGGGTCTTTGTCAAGCCAAAAGAGTATGGCTGGCTAAATGTAAATCTCTCACACCTCACTCTAACATTCTAACTTAAACTATAATTATATTCTGCCATTTCCATAAGAATGAGCAATTTCTCCACATTACATTGTGGGTTTTTCCTCAAGGAATGGGGAGCTTGTTTGTGTTCAGATGCAAGTCTGAAATTCATAAACCACAAGGAAAAAAAATGGAGGTTAGGGCCCTATCTGCATCAGATGGTCATTTTGCCTGCTGCATCTATATAAATAAAAATGTAATGTTAGTTTGTGGGATTAACATAACTCAAAAACAACTAGACGAATTGACACCAAATTTGGATACAATATACCTATCAGGCCAATGAGTGACCATCTCACCCACACACACACACACACACACACACACACAAACTCTGAAAAGCACAGCAGAAGAGACTTAAAAAGCCAAAAAAGCAAAAAGGCACTACAGCGCATGTGCAAAAACGACTCCTCCGGCAAACAAAACACACAATAGCATATCCACACTCTCTTCCAGACTATAGCTCCCAGCACCCCCTAGACCAGGCCTTTTAGGAGAGAAGGATGATCCAAATGCACTGCTTCCAAAATGCAAACTTTCTTCTCCTTGGATTTATTTGAGAGCATCCCAATCCCTGCATATTTCTAATTTCCTATTCCTGGACTGCAACTCCCAGCAATCCTCCAGATAGATAGATTAGATAGAGATAGATAGATAGGTAGATAGATTGATCAGGAGGACTGTTGAGAGTTGCAGTTCAAGAATAGGTAGACAAGGGAGAACAGAGAGAAAGAGGAAGGGAAAGAAAAGGGGGGAAGGAAGGGAAGAGGAAGAGAAGGAAGGAAGGAGAGAAGGAAAGAAAAAAAGCAAAGGAAGGAGAGAGAAAAAAGAGAGAAAGAGGGAGGGAAGGTTGGCCACAGCAATGCATGGCGGGTACAGCTAGTAGTTAATAAAATTGAACATTAACACACAGACAGCATATGTAGTTAAGTGCTGGTGTGTTTTAACATTAAATTAACCAAAAATTGGACCATCTATCCTTAGAAAGTCATGCTTCAGAACATGAAGAGCTGTCATATATAGACTTAAAGTAATAATTCGCCTAGCTCAATTCTGTCTCTACTGAGCAAGAGGGATTTCAGGACAGTTTTTTCTACCTTTACCTGGAGATACCAGGGGCTGACCCCAGAATCTTCTACAGGCAAAACCAGTGTTTTCTTACTGAACTCTTACACTTTCCTCTATGGTTTGTTTTGACAGTAAAACCTTCACATTCTTGTTTATATGGTAGTCTGTCAAAAGGCTTGGCATTAAATATAATTAGAGCATTATGGACAGGAGAGAAATTTCTGTGGCTTGTGACTGAATTTTGAAAGAAGCCTTTAACATTTATGCAGAAGAGTAAAATGCTCTGAAGACTAAATGAAACACAAACTACATGCCTTCCGGAAACACTTTATAGAGATTGTTTTGTAGGTTTTTATCCTCATTTGGCCTTTTGATGCTGGAAAACTCTTTCAATGCCACAGGCTTGCAGCATTTTCCCTTCATTGACATCGTCATTTATGCTCACTTGACATTACTGCAGCATGTAATTAGAACAAGATGGACCACTGCCATAAATAAATTAGGATGTCAACCAAGCCACGCTGCCTAATGTTGTCACATACATAACTTCAGATCAGTAGTTAACTGCATAGCATACTCTAACAAACAACTTTATGCTTAAACTTTATACTTTGCTATTTCACATTGTCAGTGTGATATATCAGGCCTAAGAGGGCTAATACAATACTTTTTTCTACTGCACATGGTTATATGTCCAATAATGTATATATATCGCGTCAATAACATTTCCAGTATGTTAAATGGCTGTACCAGAAGTCTACAAAATTATAATTATGGTCAAAATCTATTAGCTCTTTGCTCACGCAAAATTATTCTTTACAGGTGTAATTGTAATGATTCACAAAGCCAAATCATATGACTTGCAAACACCTACAAACAGGTAAGTCTTGAGAATGAAATTAATGGTAAGGTCTCCAAGCGGACTCAGTTTGAAACCAACTTCATTTCACTAAAGGCCCAGCATTTAGTCCAAAAAGACTATGTAGAAGGTAAACATTAGAGCTGTAGTCTGTACTATGGTCAAGAATCCTTTCATATATTTAAAGATAGCTACAATATGCTTCCCAGTCTTCCTTCTCCATGTTGAAATAACCACTCCCTTAGCTGTTCGTTACAGTGCTTTGTTTCCAGATGTTTAACCATTTGGCTTGCCCTCTGATGGACATGTTTGGGCTTCTCAATATCT